ATATATATATATATATATATATATATATATACACACACATACATACATACATACATACATACACGCGCGTGCACACACACCTTTAATCTAAATGGAATTGCATCAAAAAGTACATTTTTATAATAACATCTGTTAAAGCAAGAAATCACTCTTGGAAAGATTAACATCATATAGCTGGGATAGATAGTCCTAGTTTGCCTAACTTATATTTATAGTAATTAGTTGCTTTGTTATCTTGCAAAGTGAGCTACGTTATGTTAGTAAGTCTTAAGGTTGGGTGAGTTTGTTTCATTTTGCCATACTATGTAGGAGGGTAATATTGTACTACTTTCAAATGTTTGTAATATATTTACAAAAGTTTAAGAATTTTTAACTTTTAAAGATGTCATGCAGTTAAAAACACAATATAAGTTCAAAATTATGGCCAAATCATTTTTTTGATAATTTGCCTCGGCCCTGCAAGCTCCAAAAGTTAGTGCAACAGCCAACCTTTGTGATCCCTTGGTTGAATAATTGGGTCAGAGGCAAGTGACGTCACTCAAGGTAAACAAGGCCAGTTGTGGTTGGCTTCCTCTCTGTGTGCTATTTTGTGCGTAAAAAATTGTCGGTTTGTTTTGTGAAAACGGTTTTTTTTTCTTTACAAATTTCATTTGACAGTCGTCTTGAATACAGTTATTCATGAGTAAGTTGTTCCAGGGTGTAAACAACTATGGTTTTTTTGCTGTGTTATATATGGATGTGGGAATATTCCCAAGCAAAAGGAGGTATCTCTGAAGAGTTTCCACTTAAGTAAGACAGGAAACGGCACCTGGCCTGGACAAACTTCCTATCAAGAACTCGTGATAAATGGAGTTTGACCAAAATTGCCGTGGAATCAGACTTCAAAAATAAATTTCAATTTGATATGGGATTTGCAAAAAAACTGGCATTTAAGAAAGATGCAGTGCCTACTGTGTATCCGAAGTGTGAGGAAGATCCATCAAACACAGCGAGCAACAGCCAGGCTCATGCTAGTGGTACATCACACTCTTGTTCACATACTGATAATAGCGATGTTAGTCGTGTCTGATCAGCTGTTCGAAAGGAGAAGCATACAGGATAAGCTCAAGTTTTAGCTTATGCTTTAATCACAATATAGAATTGTCAGCAATCATTCAGGTTTCATAAGCACACTGGATTTATTTTTCATGTTTATAACACTTCTTTTTTACGAAATTTCATTGGAGATGTCAATATTGATTATCAGAATATGACCCTAGCCATTTTTGCTTTTCCAGTTCTAATGTATACTTAGTCATATGCATACAAGTCGGAGCATGTGCAGAATACAGTATTAAGAGTCCATCAGTTAATATTAGATCTACATCTAGTTATAGATCCATCACTTGAAAAACAAATATGGACTAAAATTTACTCATAGATTTACTATATTATCGCTCATGTGACTGTTCTGATGGATGTAAATTTCGTCCAATTTTCAATGACATTAGCAGTGTAAACCAGTCTTTTATGACATTATAGCATATAACTGTTGAAACAATTCCATACCAAGAAAAATCAGACAAACTGCCAGTTCTTGCACATTTCGGCTAATATATCAACATTAGACACATTATTGTCTGAAAGCTGTGGTTCAAACATGTACTGTGCGATTGACACATTATATCTATCTTCACCTGCTGTTCCCATTTTTCTTTACCTGTGTGACATAGGTTTGCCTGCCCAGTTCACCATGTGGCACTTCCGCTAGTTTTTCTTAAGGTTAGCCAACCATAACCAAATATGGCTTTTAGCCACATGAGATTGATTGCTTCGTGACTTTTTTAATTGTATTGTTTTTAGTGCAATACATATACACATTCAAGTTTGAAAAATGCCCTATTGTCTGTGGTCTTTAAGTATATTTGTGGTTTCATCGTATTCTATATAGGATGGTTATACAATTACTTTTAAAGTTATTACTACAGAGGGATTACTAGCTTACCCACAATTGGGCATGGACAATAAATGGTAGTCTAAACCTAGGACATTGTAGATTTAAGCAACTAGACTATACCTCTTGTTCACTTGTCTTTCATGACTCAGAAAGCTAATTAGAAAGATGAGATATTCCCAACATTCTTTTGAGTGCTGCACGTACAGCTGCATTTATCTTTCTGAAATTATAACATTTGCATTGTTCTGTAATGGATATAATTTCTCAAATATATTTATAATGTAATACTGCACAATTTTAATTTTATTGTTATCTTTGGCTTATGGTGCAGGGGCCTGGGCAAATAAAACCTGGTTTTGACCCAAAGCCCACAAAGCACTTTAAGGCTATATATTCATTTAATCATATAAAATCTTATTTTTTGGCTTTTCTCTGCATATAGACACTTGATACATTAAGAATGATTGAAATGATAATTAATATATAATTGTTACTTTATAGATATTTACATGTTACTCTATTAACATTTTTACGTTTATACTCTGAGTTAAAAACGACTATGACTTTGCCTTGTTTATGTGCCCATTGCTGTCCTAATTTAGGATCTTCTTTTTAATGGTGCTTAGAAATGTTAAAAAAAAAAAAGAGAAAGGGGCCCAATGAGTATGTTTGCCTCGAGGCCTGTGCAGGCTCTCAATGATCCTGGAGGCAGTCATATACATTAGTTAAAAAATTGCTTTTTGCTCCTCACTTTAAAATGTTCACATATCTGTTTGATCATATCAGTGATAGAATATAACTTATTATATGCTCGTGTAATTCTTTGGTGGGATAAGATCTGAATTTGAACATATTAGAGAGAAATCTGATTTATTAATTTCATGTGTTCTTATTGTGAGTGTTAAAAGTTAGTATGTGTGATATTTTTCCACTATGATATTATTCCATTAATTATGTACACTCATGAGTACGACTCATTTACCATTTAATTTCACAAATCACTGAGTAACTGGATAAAACCTGAACTTGAGTTTAGATTTCATCATGTGTTTTTTGTGCAATACATTGTTTTTTTGTTGTCCCTTTTTTGTGTGTCTGGAAAACAAATGTTTTCGTCTTGAACTTTTTATTATACATACATGTAGCTCTAATTGAGATCAGTGTTTATTAAGATTTTTGATGAAAAACATTTACTTCAAAAAATGCTTCTGTGTTTTTCATAAAGTTGTGGGCATTGCATAACTGAGTAGTAGAAGTAATAAATTATAATAAATGTGGTATGAAACTCATTGAATGAAAATATTCAAACATAAGTAAAAGGTTCCAATAATAGATATAAAAGCATGCAGAAATAAAATAATTTCATATAGAAATGTCTCTAGTTTTTCTTTATGCATAATAAAAAATATTGTTGAGTAACAGGGTTTTGACATTGTACTATCAATTTAATTAATTTTAACCTTTTTTATCTTAGGTTGTGTTTTTCTTTTTTCTAGGTATAGAAACTTTCAATACAGAAAACGTAAGTTGAGTCTCTTTACTTGGTATGCTTTTTTACATATTTTGTTTAATAACATGAAGTATCTGGTGATACTTGAAACCAAGTGTATTTAGAGAAAAATGTACATAAAGATGGATTGTTGTATCTTGAAATACTAACTTTCCAAACATTTTTTGAAGTGTTATGTTTACAGTAGTTTTATTATAAACATTATAAGCTACTGATGGGAAGTTCCTATTGATAGTTAAAGTAATTGATTGCTATTTGTAGTACTTTATGTACATCACTGATTATTTTCTAGAGTCATGTATATTTAACTATCAAATTATCAACTTGTTTTTGACAATTCACTGCTTATGGGGTTAAGACACTGCATTATTAAGTAATTTTTTTTTTCCTTGTTACAACACTCAGTGTAAAGAACTGACCAAAGAGATTGTGTAAAATCACTTGTTTTTCTATTCAAGTTACACAGGAAACCCAGCAGCAGTTACTGAGTTGCAGTATTGATGTTTTTTGTTTAAATTTTGTATGATGTGTAGAATAAATACCAGGATTTCTTGTGGGGGGAACTGTTTCCTTTTATCTCATGTTCAACAATCCGTGCTTAAAATCTATTATAAAACTACTCAGTTTTTGTCTGTTATGGAAATGTGCGTGCACCTCACTATATAAATGTGCATGAGCATGCACTTCGTTTCAGTGGATCTAAACAAAAGATGGACAAAAATATACTTTAAAAGACATTTTGTACAATAACATATTAAAAGCTTATCAAAGTTTTGAAAAATTTGTAACGTTAGAATGTAGAATAACATAATAAATTTATCTATTGATAATATTAAGTATGATAAGGTTTAGCCCTAACTAAACTAAACCAATAGATGTACACAAGTTAGTGTTAATTTATCTCTATCGAATATAGGTCATACTTAATTATGGTTAACTAATGTTAGGCTTAATACAAGTGGATTTGTAGATTTTGTTTTTCCGATTAGAATTCTTTTGTAATATTCTAGAAATCCTGTATTTAAAGAAGTACTGTTATAATAAAGATACTAATTTAATTGCAAATGTTTTGCAGGTATCCTAGTATAAATTAAAATAATGCTTTTACTAGTTTAAGCTCCAATTACATAAAATGTTACATCAGTTTGAAATAACGTACCAAAATATTCTAAACAATTAAATTGAGGTTCACAGTCTAATGTGCTTATGGAAAGCAATAATTAGCTGTTTTTGTTTTGTTGTCAAAGCTATTCACATTGTGTTCTATGAAGTACACCAAAAAATAATAGACATAAATGGGTTTTTAATTATTATATTGCAAAGAACCTTTATAATTTAGAACTGTTTTGTTCATTGTAATACAGGGACACTCAAAAATAGCATAAAATGTTGCTGTAGCATTAGAGCTTTAACTACTTTGGAGATGAACAAATTAGCCTTCTTGTAAAACTTTGTTGATAATCACATGCGTCTACATGTTAATACTGAACAGTAATTTGCAACTCATTGCACTTTTCTAGGAAATTAGGATTAGTTTATCTTAAATAATACATCCAACTGTAGTAGCCTTACAGAAGTTCATTGTGAGGCTCCATCTGCAATTGAATTTTTTGCACCGGCAACAAGAAAAACATGCAGTAAAAATAATTCTGAACCATGTTTTTTTAAAGAAAATAAACACTGCCATTTTCAGTCTCCAAAATGGCTGTTGAATATGTGCTGACAAGACTTCTTGAATAAAATTCACCCAACAGTATGATATTGCATTATGTTAAGGATCATTTAGGTCGAAAATGTAGTAAAATGAAAATAGAACTTTGGAAATGAGTACAGTAAAGTCACACATTTTGTAAATTGCAACAAGTTTCTGAAATGCCAAACAAGAATGGGTTCTCCCATTTTTCTACTAGATCTGAAAATTCTTATGCAAGGCTGGTCTATAGTGTAAATATGTATTTCATGTTTTTCATGTGCTGTTAATAATAAAACTTGGAAGTTGTGGTTATGCAATAGTTAAGATAATTCTGTGCATGTTGGTTTGTTGTAAGTGGTACTGTTTATCTTACAAAAAGTGTTTTAAAGAAACAGTATTTAAAACCGTTCACTTTAAATACCTTGGAACAATTATTGTATCTTGAGCACCAAATATTTTCCCTTGTTTTATGTGTACAAGCAGAAAAAAGTCTGCTGTAATAGTTACTAATTTCAGTAGTTATGGTGAATAGTTTTCATATATTACAACATTAATGTTTTATTGTCAAGTATTTATAGTTTCTAGCTGTGTAAGTTCTGTTATATCATCTTTGTTTCATAGTGTTTATACTGTAGATCTAAATTTTCTATAACTTGTAATGGAAATATTAGGATTTATGGTGGGGAACTGCCCCTCATTGACTGTGTGAACAAATATCCATTTATTCAAATATTTAGTGTCCATGATCAAACTTTGCAAATACTAATGTAATTATCAGTTTTTAAGTACATAATATTTGTAATTTTTCATTCTAGAGAATTGAGGTTAACCCTGTCTTTGTTATGATAAAGTTATTAAAGCTGTCACTAATTTTGCTCTGTTGACTAGAGGGAAACCAACTGGTTAGATGCAACCACTGCCAATTTTTTTTTCTTTTTGAACTACTTAATAGAGGGAAGGTACACCCATCATCAACTATTTCCCTTTGTTATCGAATTGCTGCCCAGTCTTTCTCTTTCTTTCTCTCTTTTTCTCTCCTTTGTTGACGCTCTTCTTTATCTAGGCCTTGTTGTTGTTTAGCAAACTCTCGTAGATCACCATCTTTTAGCCAAAGTCACTCGCCTTTCTCTCTATCCATTTATCAAAATCAGTCAACATGGTTATATAGTGTGATTGTAATCTTTACAATATTTTCACTACCACTACAGTTGTATATATATATATATATATATATATATATATAGGCCTACTACTGTTGTTCATGTCTTATTTTACTGCCATTTACCACTGTATAATCCTGGCTGGATCACCAAATGTCAGGGTCTTGTAGGTGTTTGTGACTTGTTCGTGATAAATTTAAGCAATAAAAGGACAGCATACAATCCAGTCATTTTAAAACAATATATTCAAACAATCAAATGTATGTACAAAACTTCATTACACTGTTGGTTATCACAGTTGTATTCAGAGTTTTAAAATAATTGTCTCCTTTTCGTCAAAGGTCACACAGGTAGGTGGGTTTAATTACTTTATAATACCCTTTGACAAGACAAATTATTAATCTCTATCTCTGTTATTACAATACAAGGCTGTGATACTCACTTTAAAAATTGCCAATTAAGGCTAAACTCACATGTTGTCTAACTTCACTTTTACTTTCAATTTCAATAACTTACTTTCATTTTTGTAACTTGATCATAACTTTGTACAAACTACGAGACATTATGATGCAACAATACTCACTTAAAGGAACAAAAAAATTCAAAAGTTTTGAGTAATGTGATATCAATTCACAACAATTGAACTACAAAACAAGTGATTCATAATCAGTTCTGTTTACAAAGCTGCAATAAATTATTGCTTCTAGAAATACTGAATTTAACATTTGTAATGTATAACTATTTAAATCATAAATCTCATATTAAATTTCAATGAAACAGTCGTGTATATCTAATGGGTGTGTGATTTTTTTAATACTTATAGTCAACTATCTGGTGGTAGATCATACATATTCTTCTGTGCATTAAGGATATAAGTTTAAAAAATGAATAACCATTCATTTATGGGAATAAGTTTGTTAAATCAAAATAAATATATAAATGTAGATCAGCTCTGAATTTATAGACAAACTATGCTGAGAAGAGAAACTAACTTTTTAACATATTAGACTGTTGTATTTTATTTCATTGTACTACATATATTACAACAAGTTTGTTAGGAATATTACACTAATATTTTAGGGATGGCCACTTTGTTCAGCATTTTGCCAGTATTAGTATCTTTTAAATCATTGTTACAGTAATGATGTTTTTAGATTTTCTTTGAATTGTTTTTTTTCATGTAATACATTGTAACTGTTAACTGTTATGTAAACATGATTAATCCAAGCCTTTTTCCAAATGAACTTTGAATGCTATGAGAAAAAAACGTAAGAAAATTTCAGTTTATGGCATACACTCACTTCAAAACTATGTTGTTGATTATACATGTTTGTGTTTAACTGAGAATTTTACTTAATACTTAAATTCTCAATCTTCACTTCTCTGTGTCTTGTGATGCGTCTCTGCTCTGAATTTTATGTTTTAGATTTCTTTCTTCCCTTATGTGGGTTTCAGATTGCCCACTAATTAGATACACCAACTATAGGTATTGAGAGGCCATAATTTAAATCAAAGACCTCCCACCTTTATTTTGTGAAATATCAATAAATTTGTTATACCCATCATAGTAACTCCTCCTAACTTTTCATGCTTTTGAAAATACTTACTCACTCACTCTTGACGATGGTACATGTTTATAATGAATAGAAAGGTAATTTTTGTGAACTATATGATTATGGCAACTTTATGTTAGTTTATTTTGGTTAAAAGGCACCATTTCTCAAATAGAACGTATTGTGTAGTACTGTGATAAGTAATGAATTTTTAAAAAAATTATATATTGTCTGTTTTAAAGTGCATATTTGAAAGCTATGTGAATTATTTTTTGGACAATCATAAAGTAAGTAAAAATTTCTTATTTTTAGTATATTTTTTAATTAACAAAGTCATTAAAACGTAAAATTAAAAGTTTAGATAAACTTAAAAGAAATAAAGATAAATAAATAAAAATTATCTTAAGGAACATAAACAGTTAAATGTCATGTGATGTATCCTGAAATTTTGTTTATCCTAATCTCTCTGCACTTCGCTTGGATGATTTATTGCTCTTTGCTGTAGTTTGACACAGTTCAGAGAAGAATAAAACAATAAAGAAAAACAAAAAAAAACAGATGTAAACTGTTACATGCCTGAAGCCATTTCTCGATAAATAATTGTAA